TTGTTGGTGGCCAACTGGAAAATTCAGTAGCTAAGTCCAAAATTGTTGGTTGCCTGTTGTAATAAACTAAACACACAAAAGCCTGCAGGGTGAAGTTCACTTCAGTCACACAACATTTTGCTGCAAACAGCCTGCCTTATTTATTTATTGATCGTAGTACATAGTTTCATATTGCCGACACTGAAATGCACATATACAAACTGTTGAATTTTGGTTAGAAGTTCTCCACCAAGAGCTGACAAGGTGTACAATCTTATTTTACAAAGTCTTGCCACCAGCCAGAATTAGTTTAATTTGATGAACTAGATCGCCATTCTTTAAATTTAGTCACCATGACAACAACTGACATGACAACTGAAATTGGGTGTAAGCACAGATTAAAACAATATCAATGCTGTGACTCATTATACATTTACAACACTGAAGCATTCTGCCATGAGAAGGTGCGGCCCATAGGAAGGATACATTAGGAGACAACTTTGCAGTAGCAACAAATATTCAAAAATATATAAAATATTTAAAACGTGTCTTTTTCTTACCTCGTGTGTATACGTCCTTACAGGAACTCCAAATGCCCGTGCTAAACCAAAATCAGCTAATTTAATTGCACCTTCTGAATCTATCAGTAAGTTCTGTGGTTTCAGATCTCTGTGTAAGACTCTGTGTGAATGACAATATGCAACTCCTTGAAGCAACTGGAAAAGATAACTCTGAAAAAAAAAATATTGGCTTTTATAGAGCAAATGCAATACCTGAATGAATACTGTAAAAAGAGATATTCTGTTTAATTTGTAAGGATGTTCACTAGGTTTTAAATTCACTGGTTTGTGAAGGAAACAGTACATACATGTATGGTTATCTTTGCCTTCAACAAAGTAAGCGAAAATAAATCATCAAAAATAAAATTTGACAATATAGGATATTTATACCTTGACTAATGGAAGTGGAAGTCCTGAAGGTGGACTACTGTCCATATATTTCTTTAAATCTTGGTTTAAATACTCAAATACTAAATATAACTTTTTCTCACTGTGTACTACATCTAATAACCTGGAAGAGAAGCAATAGAATTCATTTAGCTATATCATTTTTTAACCCAATCATGGTTGCTGAAGGTGTACATGCATTACATAACACCTTTTTAGTGTTCCCATCTACTTTTATTTTACACTTACATGTTACAAATGAAACAGTTCAGAAAAGCCACTTGGAATGATAGAATAAATTTAATAAACACAGCATATTACCCATGCTTGTTTTTGTGTACCCATCACTTTATCAATTGGACAAACCTTCCCTCAGCTTTTGTGGTAATAGCCCGGTGAGCGAAAAAATCATTTGATATCATGAATACGCCATCTGTCTGCATTAAATATTTGCTTTTGTGCATTTCAGTAAATTGGCCAAGAGGATGAGTACTAATTTAATTGTTAGCCTAATATTAATTTTCTGTATTCATATTCATAAACTCAATTCATAAACAAGTACCAGTACGCTGAGTATTGAATACTACACGTTATTAAGAAAGTAAGCCTGTCTTACCTGACAATGTTAGGATGATTCAGTTCTTTTAATAATGAAATTTCTCTGATTGCTGTACTGGGAACTCCTTCAGATTCCCTAGTGAGAAAAGAAATAAAGTAAGTAAAATAAATATGAAATTCATCAATAAAACACCTTCATTTCAATTGAATGGGCATTACAGTGATTCACGTTCCAGAATGTTAGCATGCTACAACCCTCAATGTTATTTCCTAGTGGCTATTGACGACCAAGTTCAAATTGTTGGTTGCCAGGAAACATTGTAGTGATGCCTTGTTTCTTTTGTTTGTGTCCGATATTATGTGGGTTGTTTGCTGTTGCTTGCCACTTAGACGGTAACATCTTCCAAAATAAACCAGTTTTATCGCAATTATAAACTTGTTCGTCGGAATAACCACCTTCATAGATAATTTCTCTCAGTTTTTCGGGAAAAGTTCTGACAGTGTCCATGTCCGCAGATCGAGCTTCGCTTTGAATTGAGACTTTGTGTATAGCGTGTCTTCTTTGCCATGACCAGAACCAACCCGAACTGGCCTCAAATTCAAAATCGCCACATCTGAGTTGCTTGGCGAGGATGTGTGCTTTGCACTGGGTGATGGGACCAGAGAGTGGAGTTCCCGCAGACTGTTCTTGAAAAAGTAATGGACAATTTTGCACGTTTTCTGTTCAGTCCCACCTCTTGGTCAACTTCGAAAACAAATTTCTTTTCTTCATTTTTTTCCCAGCCACGAATAGTGGACACACCGATTGCTAGATCACATGCAACCCTTGACTTGGTTTTCTTGACAGTCGATCGCTGCGAATGTATGTAGTACAGACAGACAGACTGGATAGCTTTCGCTTAGACATGCTGCTCAGTTGGGAAATAGAGATCAGAATGATGAATTCAAACTCATCGTAGCAAGTTTTATAGAGGTAGATCAAAGGGGGACTAACTGAGAAGTATGTACGATCGCTACTAGACACCCTATTGACGGCTGCCGTCACCCAGTTTATCTTGAGTCAGTAATAGACTGACAGAAGGTGTTAAAAATAAGTTGTTTCTTTAACGGATAGTTAAATACACGATGCAATGAAACATTAGTCTTTGTACTTTGTACAAAACTGTCGTCAAAACACAATAGAAATGTTGGGAGCCATCCAATAACCCATGACTTAGCCGAAATCGCGACTCACTGGGGCTAGACTTAGTGAGGGGTCACTGTACATGATAAACTGCACAACTACCGAACATGTCAGAATAGTAAAGAAATGCTAAAAGTCAGTTGCCCTTGCCAGGAGAGCAGCAGAACCAAAACAATCCGTCAGCCACCACCATTCACAGTAGCAATATGATTTTACATTGCATACAAATGAATGCTAAATACAGCAATCTCGGCCAGCAGTTAAATTTTAGAGAGTACAGAAGAAGTTCAAGTAAGGACTTATTATGCATATCCAAATTAAATCTATTATTGGAACAGAACATGTTCTATATTCACCAAAAAAGCAACATTGCCATGTTTCTTGCCATACTAGAAACTCAAAACAAAGAAAAAAGTCTGATCCAAATGACCTATGTCCTTGAAAATCGAGTCTTATCGCCTTTGCTTTTCCGAGCAAAAAGGTTGAGGCCAAAAACAGGATGGGTTATATATTAGATGTACCAGGGGAACTAAGATTTGGGACGTGAATCACTCCAGCGAAGAAAAATTAGTCCCTCTATAGAGGGAGACTATTTACCTCAACGATAGCTACGGTAATTGCGACCCAATCAATATTGGCAAGATTCCAGAAAATGCGGTGACCAAAAACTGTTGTGAATTTTTATGAAGGACATGGATTCACTTTTAATAGACTCCTGGGGGGTCAATTTTTCGCGATGCAATTCACTCTGGCGTGGAAAAGTCAAGGATAATTAAAAATGGCGGCAAAGGTCAAAAACATTGTTATGCTAATAACTTTTTTTGCCATAAAACGCTTTTTTAATTTTCTTGGCGTTAGCTAAATTTGGATCAAAATGGCAGTACAACCACCAAAACGAAATTAAAAGCAAATAAACATACGAAACATAAAAAACTGTTTCAAATCAGAACATAAAAGTATGGGACAGAACCTCTGTTTACCATTAATAGGGGGGTGGGGTGGTGGAAATTACTCACATTTGAGGGTGCCATGAAAAGAAGCGTGAAAACAGTGTTTATGGTACTTTATGTTCAGGGCCACCCAAAATTATGATATGAAGTCACGCTTGGTAATTTTAATAATTTACTGGGTAAACCTACCACAGCACTTTTTATTTACCGTATTACCCCGGGAACGCGCCCCTCCCTGGGCAAGCACCCACCCCCTGTTTTCACAAAAGTTACATGTTGGGGACATCCTCGGTTAAACGCCCAGGGTGATTTTTAGCCAAGAACAGGGTCAACAATAAAGTTTTATTTGTCAAAAACGAACACGTTTGATTTATTTACATTGTATATATGTGTTTGTTGCGTCGTTTTCTTTTTTGGAGTGTGTGGTGGCCCTGAAAAGGGCCATTTTGTTTATGTTTTTACGTAAAAACTCATTGGAACTTAACGACTTAAGATGAACCACGCAGCATGTGGCGCACACGTTCTGCTTTCTCTTCATTCACGATGAATCCAATATTGCAACAATCCATACCTTGGTGAGTGGTTTGAAGCACTTGGCTTTGGTTTCAAAACGTAGCATTTCACTGACCGTGAATCCATAACGGGAGCTAGAACTTTTGAGACATCACGTCGTAAACTTGCTACTTTCTTTCCATCCTTCATCACAGCTATGGCATTACGGTCATGTGGATTATTTTTCTGTCATTGAAGAAAAAACATTTTGCCAACCTCAAGTTCATTACGATAACCATAATTAGGTATGCCGACGATGGAAACTTGTTGCATCATCGTTATTTTTGTCGTTTTGTCATGTGTGTGTTTGCGTGAATAAGTTATGTTAATGAGGTCAACCAGAGTTCATTTTCAGTCTGTTTTTTATGTATCGCCATTTGGATATGTTTATGTATTCACAATAGTTTGTAAACATTTCACATCAGTAATAAAAGGTTTATTTGTTTCATAAACCTGTCTGCTATTCTTCAGTAATTACAATGCGATGTATCAATACGTGAGTGCGTGAACAAAATTATGCTAATGAGGTCATCGCCATCTTGGATTACAAGCGGTAGTTTTTCCCGGCCGTTTTGACTTGCACTGATCACGGTTACTAAATTCGCTGACATAAAACAAGTTTTATTCTTGAAATTCGGCCATGTGTCTTAGTGTTCCCACAGTAAGTAAATCAAGAAATAAGTACGTGTACAAAGTGTACGAAAGCATTCCTTTATTCTACCTTATCATACGATCACAAAAACAACTTTTTAAAATCTTTTTTGGGGTGGTCCTCGGGTAAGCGCCCACCCCAAATTTTTCTCGATTTTGTATGTTCAGGCCCCTGGGCGCATGCCCGGGGTAATATGATATGTGTACCATCTGGGAAGCATAGGCCAATGGTTCACATGTAACATTAAAATATGAAAACTTATAAGTTTTCAAGTATGTGCAGGTCACAATTTAAATGTGCATATAGATTTTTCTGTCCAATTTAAATAGTATTTTACCAGACTTGATGGCGAGTTATGTGGATATGTGATTTCACTAAAGCTACACAGGAAATCCAGATGGAAATAGTTAGGTATGCAACAGTATAAACATAAATTATGTTGGATGCAACAAACTCTGCCACATCAAGGGCAAACTGGCATTCATGTAGGTCATGGAAGCTGAGAGAAAGTTCTAAGTACCGACAGCACTTGAGTATTTGTGTCAAGTCACATAAATCAAAGAAATAATATATTCTGCACTGCGATTTTTATTTTTTTATAATTTCTTTCTTGATTTTCAACTAAAACAACATAAGAAGTAAAAATTTATAAAGGGTTTTTTGTGTGTGAAAGGTAACGAAAGTTGACTTTAACAAACAGTTATTTAGTCATCAAACTGTTTGATACAAGTCACATGCTGCAACATATACAAAAGGTGCATCTCATCTCATTTAGATAGACCGAAACAGGAAATGGGGAGATAACGAGTGACTTTCAATAAGCCACTGTAAAATACATTGCCATTCCCAGGAATTTATTTATAACCTATGAGGAATGCGAGATTTTATTTTTGTGCAAGAAAATGTCAACATTTTTTAAAATTTGTTTTGGTGCATAGATTTCATTGCTTTTTTCCATTTAAATGTGAAATCATTTTTAATTTTGTTTTCTGTATTGGATAATTTTGTGTTACCAGCGATTGAGTAGTAAAAACTGCAAATTGGCGTTGTACAGCAAATCAAAATAGATCTTCACAGCACACGTTACACTGAGACTTGACTTTATCACATTATTGCCACAAATATACAATATACAACTCTCTGATTTAGAGGCGTAGCACCACTGAAATACTTAACATGGAAGTTTTTGCTCACAGCGACCATCTTTGAACATAAAATTTGCACATTAATCAAATACTTCACAGTATTAGTAGGATGGGAGAACATAGACAAGTACTTGTTTTTATAAGTTGCTGACAATGTGTTTGAGACTGCAATGAAATTACAATTTATTTTTGTTCAACATCACCTGATATTATTAGTTTATGTATAATGTACTCCAAAACATTAAAAACGCAAATCTAGTGTTAACCTATGTGTCAAACCATATTGACCAAAATGTCTAAATGCATGTCCATATTCGAGAACTAGAAGTCCCACAAAACGACACTAAACCCATAAGGAAATAAAAAACAAAATGTGATAATACGAAATTATTGTTACAAATTATATTCAATCGGAAAAGAAGGCAAAGGATTTTCGCGCGGTATTCAGATCACGCCATGACGTTTTTTTTTACAGCTGACCCATTACGCAACAACAGAGCCCTAAGCATCGCGTCGGTTAACTCCAATTATTCCAATATAGTCAGTTTATAGTCCCTTCTCACAAAATTACCCCTTGCAAGTATTAAAACCACCAGAAAGAAATTAACCCAAATGAAATAGCTCCAAAATGATCTGCAATTAAAATCATATTTACGGGACGAACATTCCTTTTTCGTTCAATCGGTTGGCCGCGACCACAACAAAGGCAAAAGTGTTTGTTTACAATTTTTACCTGATTCCACAACGAAATGCCCCAACTGAAATATTGAGAATTCAATGAATAAGTTATTGTATAACAATTCCACTATGTTCATTTGACTTATCGGGGGACACTGTAGAACCAGTACATGTGCAATGAGAATGTGTGGGAAACAAAATGCCATTCGCAACGACATTGGCAGGAATCAGCAGTTGAATCCCGATTATGACTTACGTGTCCAAACGGATTTTCTTTAACGCCACCATTTTACCGGTCAATTTATCACGGGCTTTGTAAACTACACCATAGGTTCCCTCGCCAATCTTCTCAATTTTCTGGAAATTTTCCATTTTCTAGCTTCTAAAATATATGTAGTTGACTAAAATGATATCTAAAATAAGCCGGGGTCAAGCAGTAAAACAAGTTGAGGGTCGTCAAAACTTTTCGCGGGAATCCCCTTTCTCACGTGGGATAGTTTGTCTACATCTGATTGGTTTATTTTTGGCGCAATTCTTACGCCCACGTAGCTTGATTGGACAAAACTAATGGACCAGTTCACTCCGTTGAATAGGTATAGAATAGGAGGGAATTTGTGAGAAAGTTTTCACAACCATTCATCGATATAAAATTTAAATATTCAAACCTTTTTATGATAATTATAATTTTAATTGTTATAATATACGCTTAAGATACACAGCGAGAATTATAGAACAACTTAACCAAACAAAAACTAAAGAAGCGTGCAATGTTTTTCCGATGAAAGAATGGGATAATCCAAAGCTCAAAGGTTGAAGGTGAATTTTGATATATTTCTGTCGTACGAAATGACGAAATGGTGGTGTTAGTTTGGGGAGGTTGTTTTTTGCTATAATTAAGAAATGCTTTATTAAAGAAAGCCGGGGTTGTATTTGTTTCTATATATCATTTTTTTTAATCTGGCCCTGTCCCTCCCCATTGACAAACAGAATTACCCGAGATGCAGTGCTGTAGGTAAAACAAAATGGCCGGAGTGGGTTCTTTACAAGAGGAAGCATTGAAGAGAAAAGAGCGTTTGAAGGCTTTACGGAGGAAACACCAAGGGGAAATAGAGGTACGTCACATAAACTACTGCATCTACCACGTCCTGGTTGATTCTATTTCCTTGTACTTCCTCGCAACCATTGTAGTTGTGTTGTTTTTGTTATTAAAATAGTATGTATCCAACATTGCCTGGCCAGTCTGTTGTTGAGAGACTCTCGCCACAGGGAGCCCAGGAACTATAATCAACTGTAATACGCAGTCTCTATG